AAAACATAACAATGTATGTATGAAAAAATGTCTGAATACCGAAGGTTTTTGTCCCAATGGTCAACACAAAATGAGTGCGGACACAAATACGAACATACCTGTTTTTGTGCCTCTAATTGTCAACCAAATTCAAACCAAAAGACCAAATCCAACGCTGCATCCAAAACCCATATATGTTATTCCTCTGTGTGAGATAGCTACATTGTTCAAAAACTGTTAAAAACTGAAAAAAGAGCCACACACTTGGCAACATGTTCCTTTATTACCGATAACATGGGCACTATAGTTTCTTTTTAGTTGATCCCTGATGGTGTGAATACATAATATTCTTTGTGTGATCAATCAACGATGTTAAATTATCCAAAAGTCCCGTGAGGTGCGGAGAACTCTCTACAACACCTGTGAAGCTGGGGCTCGGACTCGTCAGTAAGTGTTCCTCGACTATTCGGGGTCAACCCTAGATAATTTGCTAGAAAATAGTCCGCTAAAATGCGCAATTTTATTCTGTTTGTACAACAAATGCTAAAAATGCAGTACCCAGTTATTTTAGAAAAACGATTTAGCCTTTCATGTATAAATTTTTGTTAACCATTTATGTGCTTAGTTGGAATGACTCTTTTGAATTTCCTTCAGAACCTTTCAAAGTAAAAGGTCTCAGTTAAACATGACAGATATTATTGCGACAACTGACATAGACTCTATGGAGTTACACTCACACAAGCGATTATCTAAACTAGTTTTACGACTTTAGGATAAACTACTTTGAGTGAAAGCAGACCACAATAATTCACAATAATCATAACAGACATAAAATTAGAACTTGATGTAATATAATGCTAAATGACACACATGTGAAAATATAATATGCTACTGTACTATTAACAGTACTGAAGATAGTGTTTAAACTACGAGAGACTACCTTTTTGTGATTTGAAGAAGCTGGAGACATTGCTACCTATATTGGATTGATATTTCATCATGATAAAAACACACGTTTTTATTACTTTCAGAATTGATGTGTTTTTGTTACCTTTAGAATCAGCCCTTTATATCTACAAAGGGAGCAGGTCCTCTTCCACAAAGTCCACCTTGTTGAACCATCATGGTTCTACACTTGCCCAGAACGGACAAACCAAAAACTGGCTCTAGATAGGGCCTTTTGCATTTTCTGTGAGTTTCACAGGCCATTTGTTGTTTCTCCTACATGCTTGGAACAGGAGGGTGAGGCAAGCAGTTTTCAAATGGTTGCAAACTGCATTTTCACTACTAGATGCCACTAATTCCTTCACTGCATCTTTAATCTTCTGGATAGAGCAGCTACTGTATGTGCAGGTCATAATCTAGTCATATTTAGAATGACGAAACCAGCAGGCATTCCTGGCATGTCAAAAATACCTGCAGCCTCAGCCACCTGTTCACAGCTGTCAACAGCAGGGCATTTACCTTGTCGCTGACATGCCGCCTCTCATTGTCAGGGTGGTCTTATCGTAAACTTGCCTAATATGCCCTACTGTTAACATTTCCAGAGAGAAGGCAAACGGGAGCCAAGGTAGTCATCCACTGATAGGCATTTGCGGCTTTTTTTGTTGCATATTAACAAGTGATAGGAAAGAAAGCTGTTAATGGTATTAAGTATGGTCATTATAGATTTTAAACATTCAAATGGGAAACCTAATGACACCCTTAAAACCTGTCAGATTGTGGCAGGAACAAGGCTGTAAAAATGTTGTTCCAGACTTATCTGCGTCACACCGATGGTGGAAAAAGAAAAACACTTAGAATTAGGAACATTTCAAATTAAACACTTCTGCTGGTGATATTAATTGTTTGTGATTTGTTTGAGGCTTGTGGAATCAACCCAGAGGAACTTATTTATTGCTTAATCGGTAAAGTGACTAGTGAGTGGAAAGCCAGGAGGGTGTAGGAGGAGCTGGCTTACACTGAAGGGAAAAAAACATGTTTCTAGGTAGCAGGTTGGACTTGTTTTGGTAAAGAACATTTGAGTTCATGAGAAATAGAGCCAGAACTCTTCATTTATTTTCTCATTAAATTGTGCATAAAATCCAAGAATAACCTGCATGTAGTAGCATTATACACAGATTTAAATTGATTAGGTGGTTGGTGTGGGTACTGTAATTTATGGCTGACAGTTATGATGTTTGATAGGCTGTGTGTGTGACAGACGGAGAGAGGATCTTGGGGCTGGGAGACCTGGGCTGCTGTGGCATGGGCATCCCCGTGGGTAAGCTGGCCCTCTACACAGCCTGTGGGGGTGTGCCGCCCCAGCAGTGCCTGCCTGTCATGCTGGATGTGGGCACAGACAATGAGGTAAGAGCTTTTCGCAGAACTATTAGCAACTTGTTATACTGTATTGTGTTATTTTTACATTGAATCTATCTCTATCTAAGGTAGAAAGTAACATTTATTCATTAAGTGTCAACCACATTTACTTCAGCTGAGCATTTTCATTTTGAGAAACTTTGAAATGGAGTGTACTGTCAGAGTACAAAAGAAAATATTTATGTCACTACACTTTTAACACACTAGTTAACATTAGCTTCATTGGACCAGCCACAAGATAACAGGACTAAGAGTCTACAATCATGCTAACGGCTCTATGAGGTAGACTTAATACTTTCAGCTAAATGCCAACGTCAGCATGCTAACATGGTCACAAAGACAATGTTAACATGCTGATGTTTAGTAGATATAATGTGTATACCATGTTCATCATCTTAGCATAGCTCTTTCAGCATTTTAGCATGTTGCTAATTAGCACTAGCACAATGTAAGGATTAAACAAAAAAGATATAACATGTTAATTAGTGACATACAGAGGGGCTGGCAGACAAATTATTTTACTAGTGGGCAGAGCCAGGCAAGATTCCAGTCGTTATGCTAAGTTTAACTAACCTGCTCCTGGCTGTAACTTCATATTTACTATACAGACCTGAGAGTGGTATCAGTTTTCTGACCTAACTCTTGGAAAGAAGTGTATTTCCCAAAATGTTGAACTAAGTAGTACAATTTGGAGTGTAGGACTTTAACTTTTATGAAGTATTTTTTAGTGTGGTATTGTTACTTCTACTTGATAAAGAACATTTAGAGTATTTTAGAAACATTTACATCAAACAAGTATTAACTTCTAATCAATTATGTTTGCTTTACTTTTACCAAACAGAGATCAAGATAGCGTAACAGAAGCTGGGGATGGTAGTGTCTTGCTCAACTCGACATGGGTTAAATTAGATGAAACTGTAACCTTCCTTGTGGGGACATTAGGTCATTATAACCCCAAGTAGTAATGATCAAGAGCGCTGACCTCCCAACTACTGCCCCAGACCCTTAAACTCAAAATTTTACTCCAACAAATGAAAATGCCGTGAGTATATGTTGCCTCAGAAACTGGCCAAGAAAAAGAAAACAAATCTTATACTTTACAACCAGGAAACACCCTTTACGTAAGTGAGGTAAGCAGCTCCATTGGTGGATGCCAGCTGGGAAAGCACCTCTCCCATGTGGCTATTGGTGAGAGTAGCAGCCAACAGAGCTAGTTACCCACCTGTGGTCTATGGAGGTGTCTCTGATTTAAATTTTGGGCAGGGCAGCACGTGTTGCCTTAAACCGACTAAGAATAGCCTGTGTACACTTCTATATATACACAAGTCTTGGTCTCGACCAAGGGCGTGGCAGCCCCGGATGCCTGTGTGCCTGACACAGCTGACTCATTTACCAAGACAGTCTTCACATGACTCAGTCCTTGGCAAATGTCACAAGTGGATTAAGGATGAGAGATGTTGCTGAGGATAAATGAGTTCGCGAATAAAAGATACCAAGAACCGAAGAAACCCACTGATTTCATACAGGTGATGGCATCATTGATGGCCTGTGACAGCACTCACCCAATAAACACTTCATTACGTAATCAAAATTCTCAGGGTCACAGCAGAAATCCCTTGCATTATAACAGAAACATTGCACTCTTCCCAGAAAACCCATAAAAAATATTATATTTCAATATTAGAGCTCTTTGTGCCTTTGGAACTGCATTAAGAGAGCAAAGTCATCTCATCCTGCCAAGTCCTTCACCTCAGCTCTTTATCTTTATAGGCCTACAGTATACAGCTCTGCCTTTTGACCTCTTCGTGTACTGGCATCTCTACCTTCCACACGGAGTCTACTAGTATGAGTAATTCTGGTTTAGAGTGATAATACCATCTGCAGATTAGATTATTGGATGCACTGCAGCAGTTTTAGACATTTATAGGCATCACAGCACAACTTTCACAAGCTGTGTCATAGTCTTTGATCCACGCTTGCCTCAGTATGCTTTAAAACTACTGCCAAAATAGGAAGAAGATAAACACTTTTTTTGTGTGTATAGATGTGTGTGTCAGTGAGCATAGATGGGGAGCTCATGGATGATCAGTCTATTACTGTTGAGGTAGCACTGTTGGACTTCAGACATAACAACTTAAAAAAGGTGAAGATATAGGAATATAGGATTCGATTATAGCAATAGTTCTGCATACACTTATTTGATTTCTGTACAAAATGACAATTTGTGGTATTAGAAGAAGTTACAAGTTAGTCCTGTGCTCATCATCAGAATCTCACAACTTGCACTATAGCTGGAGATGCTGTACAGAAGTGCTGGGTGGATAAACTGTTGTCCATCAAGAAATAGCTAAAGCTCACAGTTCCCCCTTTTTGTACAGATTAAACAAACAAGGTACAACATGTTAATTAGTCAACTTTAGGGTACTAGTATTTAGCGTATATTTGAAGGTTGGAGAGAGCCAGATCGCCTCCCGGCTCTAGATCTGTGCATAATGCACAGATATGTGCAGTGTCTTTAGTGTTAACAGCGGTGTTTTGTGTTAAACGGTTAAAAACACCAAAGTAACACAAACAAACTAACCGATCGAAACTCCTGTGTTTTGTGAGGTAAAATGTTTTTGTCAAGCGAGTGGACCTGGATCAATTTCAAACAATCTTCCGATTTGTTACATAGTCACAAAAACACGGGGAAGTAGGGTCGGGGTTGAAAAATTCCATGAAAAAGCTATAGAAGAGATTTTACTGTAGTCTGCCTGGCTGTGGCGACTTTTCCATTTTTCTATTACTCTAGAGAGATGACAGGCTAAATGGGTTGTAATGGGATAAATTGGCAGCCTCTGTGTATGTGTCTAAAGTGTAGTTCTAGTGGGCTGGCTTCATATGGGAGGCAGGCTAGCCTGCTGCCCCTCAGTACCCCATCTCACTCTGCAGCCCTGAACGTAAAGGCATGATGGGAGCAAATAGAGGTGGGTGGCTATGAGGTAGTGGTAGCTCTTGCTAATTATTAAAATTACTGTTATTATGGGATTATATTTGTCCTTGAGTGGATATGGGGGTAAAGGGAGAGGCAAGCAGGCAGACATCCAAACAGTTAAGCAGGCAGAACCCCTGATTAAGACAGTTTTTTTCCTTTAAACAAATAGTTCAACATTTTGGGAAGTTATTTCACTCATTTGCTTTCTTGCCAAGGGTTGGATAAGAAGATTAATATCCCTCTTATATTAGAGATATTAGAGTGGTATCAATCTTCTCATCTAACTCTCATCAAGGAAGTGAATTAGCATATTTCCCCAAATGTCGAACTATTCCTTTAATCTTTTAGCACATAATGAGGAGGCTCAGTGTCTGTAAAATGTCTCTTTGGCTACTAGTTGTTATTTTTTCTGCAGAGGAATGTGGTAGCTGTGTAATCTTGTGTGAGAACCAGCAGTGAACCATCACTACCTGGACAGCCCTTATCTCGGTCTCACATACAGTACAGACAAGACATAGGGACATCTGTAGAGAAAGAGGCACAGAATCACACACAGCAGAAAGAAAAGCCAGTTTTTACTGCATCATCTTGTTATCTCTCTGGACTGTAACTGTCTGTGTATCCGCAGTCTTACTTGGAATAATCTCAGCACACACACTCATGCTGATATGAGAGTCAGTGACGTCACCCTGGACAATATGCTGTTTGTTTGTGCGTGTGTGGCGGGGCTTTCATGGGTCCTTTACTTCAGACAGGTCCAAAACTCCAGCGAAACAGTTTGGAAACAGTTGCAATAGGGAAAACGGAGCTTCTGTGTCCCTAGCAAGCATGAACTGTAAAGCCATACACAAGGACTAATCCCCTCTGAGAGAAAAGGGGCTGTACAACACAAAGGACAGCTTAGCCAATCAACAGTAGATAATCTGGGACAAAAAGACAACTCATGTCAACAGTTCAGCACAGTGTCAACGAGGTCAGCCCACTTAAAACTCACTCAGGACTATCCGAGTCACTTATAATGCAGCTCCTACTATTTCACATTTAGAGTCAGTTTTGTCATATTGTGAAATTAGACTGAATAATGAAACAAAAACGCACCATCATTCACCATAACTCAACAGAAGGCACATTAGCTGCAAGTGAACTCCACTGCACCACTCTAAAAAACTCTCTTTCTCCTTGCATGCTCTTGCATCATCTTGTGAAATTACCACCCAAAAACTCTCTCTGATATCAATCCCCTTCTCCGTGTGGGATCACATGAAAATGTTTAGCTTGTTTTGGTTACAGTTGAACTTGGCCACCTTTAGCCTATTACTGCCTCTTAAAAGCATGCCAGGAAATGAGTTGTCAACTTCAAATAAATATTGCCTTAAATAAACTTTTTGAGCTGTTCTTGGACATGGCAACTCTGGACCCTGCCATGGAAAGGTGGCCGCTGCCTTCTCCAAGCCGCGCTCATCTTAGTGGCACCCTCTAATTATCCATCTCCAGAAGAAATGGTCGCCTGTCCCAATGAGGCACAACTGCACTTCGGATATAGTTCCCTGCTCTTTGGGATAAAAATTCTCTGGAAGTCAAAGTTTACATAGTGTAGCACATTTGGATTATGAGTCTATCTTCTGAAATCTGTCAAGGGCAGGATCTACTGCTTGTTGTATGTTGAGATACAGCCATGTTATGTCAGGCAGGTGCAGCATGTCAAAGATCTGATGAAATATGTGCTGATACTCCAAAGGAAAGTCTGTAAGCAATCTATTTCTGCTAGGTGGCATTTACTTCCACCTAATTCATCACAGCCTCACTCACTCTTTCATTCTGTTTCTCTCTGTCACACACATGCATTCCCATTAACCTCTACTTTTAATTTTCTCACTTCCATGCCATATCCCTCTCATTCTTCAAAATAGGTGCAAAGGTCATGAACTTCAGCAGAGACAAATTATTTATTTATTCAGTACTTTAGTTTATGACCAAATACACACAACATTGACATTCCCATCACCCCCAGCTGTACTATAATAAGCAAATGTTAGCATGCTAACAAGCTAAACTAAAATGGTGCACATGGTAAAATCATAGCTGCTTAACCCTTAACAGCAGCTAGTGTGGCTGTAGCATCTCGGGCCTGTTACTTCTATTCTCACTTGCTTATATAGTTACTCTCTAGGTAACCCCATATGATACAACAGGATGTTAACCACTCCACAAATCTGAGGCACATAATAGTTGAAATACATTCTAAACCAAATAACTTTTGAATAAAGCCAGAGAATAGAGCCATTATATGCTTACTGTTGATCGTTCATTATTACCAGACATACGCTAATTTGTCCAGTGTAATAATGATATTTCTCCTAAAACCATGTGACAGTGGTTGATACATAAACATTTGAAACACCCTGCTGCATAAACATTTGCAACAGGGTTAGGATTTGCTGTTCATGGAAATGAGTGAACCGACATGACAGGAAGTGTTTCTGAATGCTGTAGGATCACACACATGGTTATCATTATAGCAGAGGTCTGAGGTCTGCAGAGACACAGGTGTGTTTATGTGTGAGGATGTGTTCACATACTGTATATGTCTCTTCCCTCTTTTTAATTTTCACATCCAGAAATGAGTACACACATACATACATACATACACAACATACATCTCTCTTTTTACTTCATGGCATCACATACTACCTTTCCCATGTAACAGTTTATACTCATGATGTCATCATCTCGTAAATTATTTTTACATTCAGTGACGAGTAGTCAGTTAAGTTAAAATTTGTTTGCATGTGTGATACAGGAGAGAGCAGGGTTGGGTGGGTGTCTCTGAATAAGGTTACCAAGGTTTCAAAATAAAAATGGGAGGTCAGGTTTTATCAGTTCTATGGAGCCGCCTGTGAAGGTGTCATTGAGCAATGAGATAACTATTTTTATAACATTAGCATGTACAGGCGATTGCCACTTGAAGAGCAACTCAACCAATTTTACACATCATGAAAAATTTACTGGGCGGCACTGTGGTCCGGTGGATAGCGCTGTGCCCTCACAGCAAGAAGGTCGCGGGTTCAAACCCCTTTCTGTGTTTGCATGTGCAAGTTTGCATGTTCTCCCTGTGTCTCTTCGGGTGCTCCGGCTTCCTCCCACCATCCAAAGACATGCGGCCTAGGTTGATTGGTGACCCTAAATTGTCCTTGGTGTGAGTGTGACTGGTTGTTTGTCTATGTGTGGCCCTGCGATGGACTGGTGACCTGGGATTGTGTACTGGGATTGGCTCCCGCCCCCCACGACCCTGTACGCAGGATAAGCGGTTGACGATGGATGGATGGATGGATGGATGGAAAAATTTCCTCAGCCTCTGAAATTAGTTGCATAATATCTTTGGCCCTGTAGGGATCTTCTGAAAGTCTGACAAGATTATCCTGATGATGTCATCAACGCTACTAACTGTAAGGGCAGAAAATTACACTAACTATTGTTTGAAAGGAATTCATTTTTCATTTATAATTTGACGATTAAAGATTGATGACGTTACACTAGTTAATAGTGGAAATAAATTTATTGGAATGGTTTTCCTTATAATTAGTACCAAATTACATTTGCAGAAAATTACCATTATTAACCAATAAAATAAAATCATACCGTCAAGCCTTACTCTGTACTTATTCATTACATCTCCAATACCTGACTTGATCTTACTTTAAAGACTATGCCTGCTCCTTATCTCTGCTTCTGCTGCATTGAATTTGATGCTGTGCACTGTACATGATGTCCCACAATGTTATAGTAGTACTTTTAAACAGTTCTTCTTGTAGACATGTGGAGTTTCTAAGATTTAAAGACAAGTTACAAGTAACAAAGAATCATCTCCTTTCTCTCTGCTTCTCCTTCAATCTCCTATTAGTTAATTTTTTTCTCCTCTAACCTGTCTTTCTGTCCTCTGGCTCCATGTGTTTCTGCAGGCGCTGCTGAAGGACCCTCTCTACATTGGGCTGAGACATAAGAGAGTGCGAGGCCAGGCCTATGATGACCTGCTGGATGAATTTATGAAGGCTGTGTCGGACAGGTATGATCATATTGGCCTTCAATTAATCATTTGCCCACTCCTTTTCTGCTGTCTGCTATTGTCATTTTAATACAGACAGCACATGGTGCTGTTAAAAGAAATATGTTAAGCAGTTTAGCATAGTCAGAGGATGCTGAGTGATGTAGCTGAACCTTGTGGGATTTGGGGGTCTGAAACTTTAGTCACAGATGATTCAGTTTTACCTTCTCTAAAGTTTTTGTTACTAAGCAATGTCAGTCAAAACGTACTGGCTGAATGGCATCATTAGCTTATTGAAAAGTGATCAGAGAGACTTTGTACCCGTCAGTGCTGTTGATTTCAATGGCATGATTCTCTCATTGAGATGGCTGAGAGCACAGCTAACCTGCTAAGACGGTTGAACTGAACACAACATATTATCTATTTTGAAACCGTCCACAATAATCTGACTTTCGTGTTAGTCCACAGAAGCTCTGCTAATTGAGTCAGGGATGATAAAGAGCTGTAAATGGGAACGTGACTGATCATGTGAACAGAGATGCTTAAAGGGAGAGTGGGAGACCTCTGTGTTTTTGGAAGAATCTGTTGCCTTGACTCCAGTGGTCCCAGTCCAGGGAAAATATCCAGCCTTATCTTCCCCAAGCACAGAGGATTATCATTCAGACTTAAGATGTCATGTTGTCATGCCAAACCTTGGATTATTGAGCAGTGGATCACAGTGAGGGGTTAGCTTTGGCTTGTTTGACTTGGAAGTCATTGCAAGGCACTAGAGTGTTTAGTATTTCAAATTGTCACTCATTTGGTTTTCAAACGCTGATCTTATCTTTTCCCTTCTCTCTGAGCTGAATGAGGGGAGTCATGTTGCTTCCCTTTGGGTCTTATACCTCATGGGTTTATTGCAGTCCTGTCCTAGATGAGACTTTTGTATACCTTTTTGACTTGCATGCATGCTGACACGTCTGTGTGGATCTCTGTGTCGCTGTGAGCTTTCACAGCCACACACACGGGCCTGGTTAAGGCTTGTCCTAACCCAGAGAGACCAGAGTCCAGAGGGAGAGTCCTGGATCTGGGCCCCCTCCAGCTGGCAACAGGAAGCCCTGACTCTAATAACCGGGTGGCTTTTCAACTACAGGGAACAGCAAAGCTTTTTCCCCAAAGGAGCCGGATTGGCGGAAAATGAGTAATTATGGGCTCAGAGATTGAATGAATGATTACAGCTCTGCAGACTTCAAGTAATATTCATGTTTAGTTTTCTAAGAAACTAAACGTGAACTAAAATACTCTGGATTGACTCATCATCAATAAGCAGCAGAACTCTGGGAGGAGTTTTTAATCCACCATTTTAAAAATGCTTTCCTGTTGACGAAGAATGGTTAGTGATGCAAGCGAGTGTTTGATTTCAGGCCAGCCTCCCATTCTCCAGCAACCACTGCTGTTGAATAATCAGCAGGTGTTGTCTGCTCCTTTTGTCTTCAGGCAGAAAAGAATTATCCCTAAATCTCAATGCTCCTGCACACGCCCACAACACAAAAAGGCTCAGCAAAGGTTTTAAAACGTTGAACTCGTATTCAGTATTTTCAGTCAGGGAAACTCTCACCTTTTTGCCGCACGTTGTGTTTTTGTTGGTGTTTGCAGATTTCTCCGTAAGAATCCCACTGCGTAAAGGTAATGAGGTGAAACTGGAGCGACGTGTTGGAACTGAAAACTCCACACAAGTAACAGAGAAACAGTGCACTTAGTCGCACAGCAGTAACACATGAGGCTCTTTGTTCTAAATGCATCTCTATCAGGATCTAATACGGCTTAGTGACATTACGCTTTTAGGAGCATACAGCTTTTAGTAGAGCCCTTGGGATTGGAACAGTGGAAGAAAATCAGAGAGGGGGAGAGGGAGAGGGAGGGAGAGAGAGATGCAGCGAAGGACTATAGACTAGAGCCGGGCCGCTGCAGGACTCGTCTTGTACATGGTACTTCATAGTGTCTGCTAGTCATCCGGAGGTTGCCAGGCAACCAGCAGAAGGCACTTAACATGGCCAAGAAGTAGTCTAGCACATAACCCCTCATAAAACAGCAACTTTTTGTTTTTATACTTAAGTTTTGGTACGGATTAAACTAAATATATAACGTGTTAATTAGCAAGTTAATTAGCTTTAGAGGGCTCGTAGGCAGATTTTGTTCACTTGGGACAGAGCCAAGCTAGCCGTTTCCCTCTGTTTTCAATCTTTGCGCTAAGCTAAACTAATCACCAGCTGGCGTTGGCTTCATGTGTAATTCTCATCTCAACTCTTGGCAGTGAAGTGAATAAACATATTTCATAATATCGAACTCTTCCTTCAAAGAAAAAGTACTTCTAGACCTTAGGTAGATCAATTTAATTTAAAGTGTATATTTGTGGGAAGCCAAAATACTGGTTGACTCAGACATTTTGCAACATGATGTCAAAACGATTCATGTCACAAATAATGGTACAGTCTTTGACAGGCTCTAGGTTGTTCTCCATTGCAAATCTGAGTAGCACGCAAAGACTAAAGGAATGCCACCAACTATTTTAAACTCTTGGCAATGAGAGAATAAGGAACAGAAAGACAGACCAATGGGTGGAAGGATGAATGAAAGGAGCAACAGAGGAGAGGAGAAAGAATGCAGAATGCGTCCTTGTCTTTAATGACGGCTCGGGGATTTGAGAAATAATGTGTGCTGAATGATGCTGGCTCTCTGGAGAGCGAGAAGGGGCTGGGGATTTATTAAGGCTTCAGCCACGAAAGCCATGAAGGCCCCGTAGGGACGGTGGTAACAGACAGCCTGTGTGTGCACACAAAACACATGTATGCACACAGGTTCAACAGCTGTGTTTGGACAGAGCACCCTTGTCCGAGACCTTCTTTCCAGAGGTCCCCCCTGGTTCTGTATGCACTACCTTCTCCTCTTCTTCCTCAGTGTTAGAAGTATATATCCACCCTATTACCTGAAGATTCCGATTTCATCGAGTCTCGGATGAAGCCAGATCATGTTTCCTGAAGGAGCTGGGTCACTCGTTAACTCCCCTGTCCTGCAGACATAACACCAAACGTCTGAGTGATTCACCACATGGGAAAGCGTCTGTCGTCTGTCGTCTCAAGTCTCACACTCTTATTTTTTTTATACTATCAAAAATTAATAATAATGTTCTCAATTTATTGGACTGGCTTGGCAGTAAGAACCAAGACACCCTGAAAGTTCTACTTCAGAAAACAATGAGTCTAGGTATTTTTGTTTCATTTTACTACCCGTATTGTAGTGGTAAGTCATAAATCACAACAAAATAAAAGTTTTGAGCACAAAGGAGCTCTGTGTTGTTCTGGTAGCATTTCCCAGATAGCTTAAACAGCACAAAGGTTAGTTTTTTGTATGCAGGTGTCTAGTTGTCTCCAACTCTCCAGCATGAAAATCAATGAAAGTCAATACCTGCCTTCATAAGATAATTTATATTGTGTAAATGGATGTCGGGTGATTGGCTTACAAAGTTAGCTCTCTTGCGGAGCCTTTAAAGGTCCTGTCGGCTTGCAAGAAGTGATGTGGTCTCTTCTGCCAAAGTAAATGAGTTGTTTCACAACTATGAGTTTTTTCTCTGTGCTCTTTTCACTGGTTTGAAGTGGGCGGGGATCAGTTGGAAAAAGGCGATGTCACCTCAAATCAGGATTTGGCAATATTTCAGTCAAAATGCGATGACAGTTGTGGGGTTGATTTGTTCATGTTGCCAGGAAACTGTCAGTCACTGATCAAACCACATCCACAAAGTCCTGATGAGGCTCAGTTTTTGAGAATCGTGAATACTATATTATAGAGAATTACTCAATACTCCAGTCCAATATTTACTCTCCTTTTTAGATCTGCACCATTAACCATTCTCCTTCAACTGAGAAGCAATTTTAAAGAAATGTTTTGCTCTTTACCAACTCCAAAGAAAAAAATATTTGATTGCCTGCTGTTTGGTTCTAAGCAGGTAGTGTACAATTGAGTTTTTAGAGGTTTTTTTGCTGAAAACAATAGCCTGCTGTGGATAAAAACTGCCATATTAGAGCGGTGAGACTGAACCAAAACTGTCAAGTTGCTTTGTTCCAAAACAATAAGCTGAAAGACACTGTAACGCTCTGTAAAGCTGAGGGGAATTGCATAGTCTGGTGATAATCACAACCGGTTTTACATAAAATTAGTCATTGTGACCTATTGGTACCATTGATTATATGCACTTTAAAGTATTCTGAATTTTGTGTACATGTAGAGTTCAGCAGTACTGCAGAGTGGAAGCCACTTCAGAACATGAGTGAATCAGTATATGGATAAACACGTATTTGAGTTAGCTGCAGCTGTTGTTCATTTCTACCGTTTCAATCTTTCCCAGCCACTACATGAGGTCACAAAAGTCTGCACTAGTTAACTGTTAGTCTAAGAGAACACTACAAGACTTATGTACACACTGGGAAACTTGATCAACCATATCAGAATCAAGAGTTTTCACTGTAACTGTTTTACACCCTAAAGCAGGTGTAGGCAGGTTTTTCTTGCCTGTTCTCTCGCCCTGGTGACAGATTTGAGTGCTCTCCCACCAGCCCTGTTTTGGTCTCAGAACTCACTGAACAGACACTGCTGTTGACAAAGCAGTGGACAAAGAGACGGAAAGTGATCTCACTGCCAAATCTCGACAGCAGGGATAGACGCGCTCTTTCTTTTTTCATAACAGTCATTGGAGGTAGGACAAAGTCACTGTTTTGGCAGTGCCGTTTACAACAAGTCCTGAACTTTGTCTTGAGTTCAAAGTCATTACGTGCTCATTACCAAATGTAATTCTTGTTTAAACTTTCTAAAGTCATTTCAATAGTAACAAATAAATGAATAATAAACAGTATAGCTTTAGATTAAAGTCTGCATTGCATTCAGGATGGACCGAGAATTAAATTACACTCTAAATACTCTTTTGCAAACGTCCAGTATAGTTTGTACTAAGCTCTATTATTTATAATTTGATGATATGAGAGGACACAAAAGGTTCTTGGACACAAATGTTTTCTTCCCCATCAATAATGATCATGTACACTATAAGTTATTCATATTTTTAAACCTTCTACAATGTAATTTCCCAAAGTAATATTTTGTAAGAATATTATAATTAATGATATAACTTTTATTGCTAAATCGGCTCCTTGACCACTTTTCCTGCGTTGTTACTCGGTCACAACAAGAACATACCCCTTAATTATTAAATAGATTCTCAGTAACTTTAAAATATATTGGTAGTCTTCTGGTCTATAGTCTAATTCCCTTGTACCTATTTGTCCCAGTAGGTACCCAGCAAGTTTTATTAATACCCTACATGTACTAGATAATTGCACTGTAATTTGCAGTCTGTAAATTAAAGTGTTACCCAATAAAATTTGATGAATAATTTATTCACCCTCTGCCAATCCAAAACAACCTAAGGCACCGGATCCATAATAGTTCCCAGTTCAAACATTTGTTTATAGCATTTGTTTATAGCAATCATGGTATTTTCTGTGGGATTGTGAGAACAATCCCTCTCCCAATGTTTCCATCTTTCTGCTTTACTGCTCAGAGATTAATGGATTTCTCTCAGCACAGTCAGGAACATGGTCTGCGTTCTTCATCTTTTGGGTGTGCCCTGTCTTGCTTAGGTTACTGCCCTTGATACTTCAGCTTAGACACAAAAGCATATCCTGCTTTCTTTGTCTAGGGTATTTTTTTCAGCTGGCAAAGGGGTGCATTGTCAGATTTTGGCGTTCCATTCAGAGGGTCGTCAAGGAAAGGACAGGAGACTTTCAGCAAGAATAGGGAAGATGAACACAAATCACACACACACACACAGACACACACAGCACACATTGTTAAAAACACTCCCCCTATCTTTATTGGCTCTGGCCAAGGACCAAAGAGCTTTCTACATTGGGAAGATGTGCCTTTCTTTCTGTAATGCCACAACCACAGATAGTCACTCTGTAGTTTATGGTGAGTGGATGCCCGTAAGTATGCATGTATTCACAGCTCAGTTATTATAACATCTGTGTCAGGAGTCACTTTACATAAAACAAACACTGAATTTATTATTTGACATGTTTTTCACTCTCATTTGAAGCCTTAAAACCTAATCTTCTATCTTCACTGAGAATACTTGCAGCATGTGAGTGTGACTCTCAGCTTCTGCAGAGGACTACACTCCCAAATCCACCTCTGTGAATGGGCAGCTTGGTTCTGCATGAACTGGTGTGACCTCTCCAGTTGCACCAAACCATACCAGAAGGCGCTGCACTGGCAGTGGGGCAAGGCCACATCTATCCTCGCCTGTCGCCTGTCTCTGTCTCCTGAAGCCCCAGCACAATGAAAAGTTTATAGCTCCCTTCTTGGCCTCATTATTCCTCCTCTTCGCGCAAGCTCTCAGTGCTTTAGTACTGCTCTCTGCTTGATAGAAAACACATTTCTCTTCTCAGCGCTACTGCCGTGTTGGCAGTAAGTCAGCCGGGCTGTCACTCTCTGTATAAGGAATCAGTGTCTCGCAGTGTGGCAGGGGGAAGGATAAACAGTGGCCCAGCAATGGCACTTTCTCTTCAGGACATTAAGTTTTATTACAGTTGAACTCAGGTCACTTCTCATCCTGCTTTTTTTTTTCTTGCCTCGCTTCCGCTCAACTTCCTCCTCCTCCTCCTCCTCCTCCTCCTCCTCCTCCTCCTGGATGTTTAAGCAGTTCAGCAGCCACTGTAACAAGTGGGAAACAGCTTTAGTGAATTGTTCAGTGTTTTTATAAAAACCCCACCTCATACCTCGTTTGCACTGTTGTACAAGTAATAGAGAGAAAGTTAAAATACAGTGATGGCAAGGAGAAAGGTGAGCAAACAACCTTTAACTGTGAAAAAGAAATGTGAGGAAGGTTTTCACCTCTCTCTGTTGTTCCATTAGCCGGCAGGGCTGCAGGTGTCAGGGGGTTCGGGGCGGCTTGCTCTGTTTGCTTGGCCTGTCCCCAATTTCCTCCGTCACTCTCACTGAAACATGATCTGTGGTGTTTTTAATACAGGTTTCTGACAACCTTACCCTGTCCCTCCATTGTTTCAAGCTGAGAAGTAGACTTAATAAAAGTTATATTGCTAATCTATAATTTCAGAACTCACCATTCAAAGGGCTTGAGTGTAGTTTTCCCAAATATCTCCTGCTTTTGGTCATTTCTATTGGTCTGTAGTACTGAGTCTGGGTGTGCATGGAGCTGTAGTAAGAGCAATACTCAGTATGTCGAGAGCTTGGAGGGAGGTTTCTTTTTCCTTTGCCTACACAAAAACAAAACCAAAGCAAAAGTATAAGGAATAGATTAAACAGTGTGTTTATCTATTCTAGCTAGCAGAAGGGAGGGCCAGGCCATTAGCAATCAGTCAATTATGCTAAGAAAAGCAATGAAACAATATAGTTTATTTTGAATGAGATGTAGTTGCAAATTGGATTTTTATACTGAATTGTACAAAATGACTATATAATTGCAAACATTTTTGCAATAATATCTACTTTAAAATTCTCCTGTAATATGCAGTATTTTCCTCCATCTGTCTACCTGTTAGCTTTTTAGACAAAATATTACCCTGTACACCTTCACTGGTCTTACATTTGGAGAGCAGTCGCTCTGTAAATATCCAATAAATTCCCTGATAAAGTCCCATCTGTTGCTGCATGGGAAATTGGGATTCCTCTTTGTCGCTGCTATATCTAATTTAAAGACTAATAACGCTGGCCTTATGGCTTATTTTTGTTGTGTGATGTGTTTGTAGGAGCTTATTGGCAAGATTGTGTTGTGCTGTATTGACTGTATGTGATAGGTGGTCTGAGCAGCGTCTTGTAAAACACAACACTGCTGCTTTACTGGGAGACTGGGTGGGCTCTGCTTTCTTTTCCTTCAAATGCGGTGGTTTTGTGATTGTTCTTCTTTGTGGAGGTTTGACCTCTCTCACTGAAACTTATTGTGAGGTTCTCTTGAAGTTGTGGAAAACAGGAGTCATCTTGTACACCGTTTTGTAAAATAGACATTTTCTCATTCAAGTTCTGTTGCTTTAATTTTTCTTTAGACATGACTTCTAACCAGAGAGTGTATTCCTCTCTATTTGTTGAAACATTTTCATAGATTATTAAGAAAACTGAATTCAACCCAGTGTTATAACTTGAGAAGCCAGCATCGCCTAGTTCTCGCTCTGTGCTGTGTTGTGCAGTGGGAGAGCGCCCCCTTCAGGCCTGAAAGTACAGTCTTTGAAACCAGTGGCTGCCTTATCTGTATGTGTTTATGTGTGTGTTTGAGTGTGGGCAAAAGACCCCTTCATCTTTGAGATAAAAAAAACCCTTCATTCCTCTTTTTTAAATTAAATGCAGCTTTTCTGTTTACAGGTATGGAATGGACTGTCTGATTCAATTTGAGGACTTTGCTAATGTAAACGCTTTCCGTCTGCTGAGCAAGTACCGCAACAAGTACTGCACGTTTAACGATGACATCCAAGGTAACTTACTGACACACACACGGACACACACACACACACACACACGGACATCTTCTCTGTCCATCTAACACATTTATTAATGCGCACATGATCAGTAAAATATAAATAATGTGATTGACTACCAGGCTGTCATTGAAGGTCCCCCCAGCGCTTCACCCTCCATTGTGAGCATTATTGCAGAATATGAGATGAGGGGATGGTGGTGATGTATTTTCAGATATTGCCTAGGGTGTCTCAGCTAAAGGTCACACTGTGGACATCAGCAGGCCAAATTCCTCACACTTAAGTGACCTGGAGTTTAGAGACCCTATGTTTACAGATCAGGTGAATGTATTGCACAAATAATACAATCTAACTTAATTATACACATTCCACAAGTTAAACTACACTGACCTGTCAAGTGCTTTTCTCGACGCAATGAAAAGTGGAGCGGAACAGGCCATTGGAAATAACAGGTTTCAGATGTTTTCTTATTTAATGCTCCTTCAATTATTAACATGAGCTCACAGCAGTAAGCGTTATTAGCAGCAGCGACTACATTGTGGACATTTTTGCCCTGGGTTTCACATCTCGGGCTACGTGCAGTCCGCGCGAACCTTTGTAAAAGTGTGTGTTAAAACCAGACTACACACTAATTCTTTGGATCTGTGTTGTGTTCACACTGGAAAAGTAACAATATAGTATACTCACAACAGTCCATGTGCAGCCTAAAAATGCTCAGATTTTGACTGTGGTGTTGATGTACGGAATTCTCAACATCTCAAATTAAGGGCCCTGTGGAGTTTTCTTGGAAACAAACAATGTTATTATATAAATATTTTAAGTCCTTTATTGGGTTACATCCACGTTTGCTAGCTTGTCTTCATCACTGCCTTTGTCAGCCCATTACTGCCACCAACTGTGGACCAGCATAGTGTGACACTAACAGCAGGATGTGAATCACTCCACCCATGTGCACATGCAAAATGGAGCCCCACTGTTTTTAGTAGATAACTGTAGTGAAGTACACCAATGACACATTTTTTTGTCTTTTGTAACACCACAATTGTTATGGATAAATAATTGACTATATTGGCCCAAATATTTCTCTTGAATGTACAGCAGTAACATGAGTGTCATACATCGTATAGAGAATGTCAGTGAGATTATCAACTTGAGGTGTTGATGCTGATCGTTAATTCTCCTTAGGTACTGCTGCAGTGGCAGTAGCTGGACTCCTTGCCGCTCTCCGCATCACCAAGAGCAAAATGTGCGACCACACCATTGTGTTCCAGGGTGCAGGGGAGGTATGTGCAGCACACTTGAAACGAGACTGACCATGTGTGCATGAGGTCATCAGAAGATTATAGCAAAGTGAACTTCCCACGATTTTCTTGAGTCAGATGCTTTAAAGACATGTTGTTGGACACCTCCCATAACAGTGTGAGCCAGTCGCTGGTAATTAGAGGTGCTTTTTGTGGACTAATTTGTGCTTTCACTGGCACAATTGCTCCACAAGAGGATGTTGCAGACACTGCAGCCAGTTTGTGGCTGCCAACTGAAGCAATCTACTGCACGGATTCCAAAACTTTTTGTACATAAGTCATTTTGACACCAAAATATATGAAAAGAGGGCCCATGTTTAAAAACAACGAAATTATCCTTTAGGCTTCTTGTCAAGTGAGGCCATCAATGGCAATAGAACAGACAGATTGCAAGACAACATTTTACCCTGTTTGATTTTGTTTGCAGAGGAATGATTTCCATAATTTGTACTACCATTACTAAGTCCTTTCTCTTTTCAGCAATTAGTGAAACCAAAAGAAAATATTGTGATTTCAGGTCCAACATTATTTTGACCAGGGCTGGGCGATATGGCCATAAATGTTATCGCAATAAAAAATATCATATAATTCAATATTGATAATGATCACGATAAATGTCAAATCAATATTTCTTTTAAGTTTAAAGGCTTTTGATCCTAAGTGAAAGTTGAAGAAACCATACAGTTTATTGTGGTTTTAAACCATTCTTCAAGGTGACAAACTAAATATTTTTCAACAAATATGCATTAGTAAAATTAAGTAAAATATTTTTTTCAGTCCTTTTCCCTCAACAAAATAAATATCTTAATATTAAAATTAATTGCTAATTAATTTTTTTGTGATTCAAATGAATTAAATCAAAGACTTATTGAACATTTATTGAACATTTGTTAGATTATTATTGAGGGAAATTATATTGCAATAATTATCATTATTGTTTTATTGCCCGGCCCTAATTTTGACCAGAAACGTGAGATTTTGCGTGATTGTCATGTGAAATAAAGTCGGCAAAGCTGGTAGGGAGATGACGCAGCTCCTCTCCCCCTCCTCTTTCATCCCTCTCCTTTCTGTCTTGCTCCCAGGCAGCTATGGGGATTGCTGAGCTGATCACCATGGCCATGGAGAAGGAGGGACTCGCTAAGGAGGAGTGTTTGAAAAAGATCTGGATGGTTGATTCCAAGGGTCTCATTGTCAAGGTGTCTTAACAAAATACTGCAAACACACACATGTACAAACACATGTAGTCTGACCACAACAGCTGACCAGAATGAATGGTCCAGTAGGAATTTTTATCACAAGTTATATATCTCTCAGGGTGGATTTTTCTAAGCAGTTTGTCTTCAGAGTTACCTCCAGATTTAAGAAAGAACATTCCCATCTTTCATTAATTGATTTGACAGAGATTTCCTTGGAAATTCTTCAAAAGACTCTCCAGGAGATGAACATTAACATGTTACACATCTGTTTTGTCTACCATATTCTCCTTCCACCTCCACCACCTCTTCACTGTCTTCAGCTCTTAGCTTTCTCACTGCTTCCCCTCCACAGCAATGTTCTCTCTTCCCTCCATCCCACATCTCCTCTTCATATTCATCTCTTATCACCTCCTCCTCTGTCTCTCTCATTTCCAACTGTTGATCCTCCAGTACAAATACTTCATTCCTTCAGCACTAAATTGTTAGGGAGCAATTACTCCAGGCAATGAAATGTTTTTACAGTGTGTGGACTTTCCACAAATGGTTTCATGTCTTTAATGTCCTCCTCCTCCTCATCTTCTCCCCCTTCCTTAGGGTCGAGACCACCTGACTCATGAGAAGGAGAGGTTTGCTCACGAGCACCCACAGATCAAGAAACTGGAGGATGCGGTACGGGAACTGAAGCCCACAGCAATCATTGGTAAAACAACAAGCATTTGATGTTTTCACAAGACATCCAGTTAGCCATCTTGAACTGATTGTCAGACTGCATGGAGTTAGAAAGATGACACTGGAGGATTGGATGCAAGAGATAAAAGAAAGCACAGATATTACATTTGTAGTTTTAGTGAGAATTAAGATCATATGGGGAATGTAGAAGATGAGTCACAGAATTATCTTGCTGTGTTGAAGTTGAAAGACTGTAAAGGTTTTCTGACCTTTACAGTCCTACAGCTCCTAAAGAAGCAGTCTAAAATGGCATATATTGCACATTGATGGCTTTCTTTCTCAGGTGTGGCAGCTGTAGCCGGAGCCTTCACCGAGCAGATCATCACAGACATGGCTTCCTTCAATGAACGCCCAATCATCTTTGCCCTCAGCAACCCGACCAGCAAAGCCGAATGCACTGCTGAGCAGTGTTACACACTCACAGAGGTAGTCACTCTGGACACTCTTTGTCGGAGTTATAATACCATGCATGGTATGCTATGAAAGATTTCATTGGTCACCTCAAATGAAAAATGGGTGAATGATACTTTTATATTTACTGTATATCACAATGTGCTGCAGGGGCGGTGCATCTTTGCCAGTGGCAGCCCATTTGACCCCGTCACCCTGCCTGATGGGAGGACGTTCTTCCCGGGTCAGGGAAACAATGCCTACATCTTCCCCAGTGTGGGCCTGGGTGTCACCGCCTGCGCCGTCCGACACATTACTGAGGAAATCTTCCTCACTGCAGCAGAGTAACACAGTGTATACACACCCTTTTCAAATATGTGATTAAATGAATACATGAGTAAGTATGGTCAATTGTGTTACCAAAAACTCGTGTTGTCAGTGAATATCTACTGAAATTCCTTAAGTCTCCGTGTGCTACATTAGTAAAATGTACTTTAAGATTTAAAAGTAAGTTGTTGTTTTTATTGTTACTGATGCATGTAAGTAGTCAAGGTCTAGGAGGAGCTAATTTTAGCCATATACTACCACTTAGTTAACCTATAACAATGCTTCGTACCTTATAAGTGCATCATGTGTTTTGTATGTAAAAATTTAAATTTCTAAATACAGCTTTTAAATAAATGTGGGGAGTAGAAATGAACTCGTCTCTGAATTGGAGTGAACTAGAAGTATGCGTCTCTGTCTCTCTCTGTGTACATGTCATAAACTTCAGACTCAACAAATGTCTGCATGCTGTGATGATTCTCTACTGTAACATGAGCCGTGTGTTTCACAGGCTCTTGCTCACCTGGTGACGGAGAAGGACCTTGCAGAGGGGAGATTGTATCCTCCTCTCAGCTCTATCAGGGACGTCTCTCTCAAACTGGCTGTCAAGGTGAGGGCTGAGTGTATACACAATAAAGAGCAGATGTGCTTTAACATGTCTGTCCAGCTGTATGGGGGCTTGTGACCCTGTAAACCTTTAATTTAACAAAACCTGTGCATTTCAGATCATAGAGTATGCCTATGAGCACAACATGGCGACACTTTATCCGGAGCCGTCCGACAAAGAGGCGTATGTGCACTCGCTGACCTACAGCACTGACTATGATGAGTTTGCTGTGGACTCGTACCGCTGGCCAGAGGACAGTATGACTGTGCAGTCATGCAAACTATAATACACTGGACGGAGAGAGAATGAGCCCTGGGCAGGGTAACTACTGACATGCAATTGCATCACTAGACGTGATGTTGGGATATGAAATAGGTTGTGTAGAATTTACCTCATTAATATATTACTGTGAAGTGAATGGTGGCAACACATGTAGTATTGTGCTTTATGTCTTTGATGTCTCCCTCTCCAGTGATGAAAAGCAATAGTGAATTTATAAATCACTGAATGGAGGGAAACTGGTGAGTCAGAAAAACAGGAAATGCTCCACTAATGGTTGTTATCACATTGCATTTTACGATAATTATTGGGGAAAGTCCTTCACAGGTTACTTTTAATTGTACCAGAATAGACAGTTAATTTATGTCAGCTATATCCAAGAACTCTTTTGTCAAATAAAAATGGTTTTCATTAATGTTTTCCATGTCCGATTACTACATTTGAACTGACAAAGGATGCCTTGACCTCTAACAAAGATATTAAAATTTATGATATAAAAAGTAGCCTCCATGGAGTTTCTCACAAACGTTCCTCTCACTGACACACTCTTGGTATCTTTCCGTAGCTTTATCATCAGTGCAAGACAGAATGTAGAGAGTGTTGATTTCACCACCCAGTGATTACACTTGCCTTGATAAACTTCATACTTTATCTCTCATTTGCTTTACTGTTAGTAACCAACTTGGAAATGCTCAGCAAGCTGTTTATGAAATCCGTCTTACGAGGCTCTGGCTCCCTCCAGAGGCAAACCTATGTTATTGCAATACTATAAGCAGCTTTTGGCTGCAGTTTGGCTTCACGATAACTCTACAGAAGGAGAGAAAAAACCAACATGGAGTGTCTTAGTATGGAGTCAGGCCACCACCAGCCTCCAGATCAGCTTCAGGGTCCTTTCCAAGCATGTGGAACTCTGTTCAAGGGATAAACACTGTTCTTCACAAGGTAGCCCTCATTTTATACAACCTTCATTTAATCAAGTAATCTCACTGAGATCAAAATCTCTTTTGCAAGAGAGACCGGAGTACAGCAGAAAAAGAAAGAAGAAAAACTAACATAGACAGACGTAACAAAAGGAAATATAGCACCAGAGACAGTCACACAATTATTAATACATCTGAAGATTAAAGTTTATATTATATATTTGGTGTTGTGGAGATATTGACGGAGAGCAATTGTCTTTTCACGTTTATCCAAAGTTATCCATACGTATGAAACTGGTTTGAGATCTGGTGACTGTAAAGGCCGTAGCATTTTATTCATGTCCTTTTCATACTCCGCAAAGGTTTATCCTTTCTTTTCTCCCTGACTGTTAGTGCAAATGTTTTCTTTGTTGTTGATTAATCTCATCAGGTTTTAACAGGAAACTAAACTCTTATGAGACTTAAAAAGCATAAAAGCAACCTAATAAATGTAGTAGGGCGTGTATATAACCCATTAAACAGAGCCACACACACATACAAACAGTACAGCAGCAGGTGAATCAAACAGGTTTACGGTCCAACAGTTTTTTTTGTATCTGTCTGGTGTTGTCTGATTTAAACTGAGGATGATTTAGCATTAATTAATCGATCCCTTGCCAGACAGTCAGTACCAGAGGCCTTGGCTGGCCTACTGCCCATCCCAGTCTGAAATCAATAGAGAAGCAACCAGACCAGTCAGCATTCAGTGTTGAGCGTCTCGCCCCAGGCAAGATTTGGAGAGACAAACATTTGTTTTCCTCCCTTTTAATTCAGCTGTGGGCGACCACCACTCTGCCATGGTAGTCAATATGTCTCAATGTCAACACCATCCAGCGGTCAGCTGTCTGGGCTTTGGTATGTCAGAACTTCAACAAAACTGTAAAATGAAACACTGTCCCTTGGTTGTGTATCAGGATTACATTGATGTGCATTACGGAATGAACTAAGGGAGACAGGAATGATTTTAAGAGGAAGACTTGACATTAAAAGTGAACTTTGAACCCAGGATGTTGCAAGCACGAGCCACCAGTAAATTACAGGCCTTTCCGTGCCAAATATGAATGTCCTCACAGCTGAACTGAAGTACGCCTTCATCAACACCACCAGTCATGTTCCAAATGTGTTTAAATGAATGGATTTTAATGTGGATGTTGTTTAATACTATAATTATGTAAAAGTGGTACTCTTAAATGCAACTGAACTGTGTCAGTGTTTAGGTCAGTTTGGTCAAGTTTGCATTGCTTAAAGTAGCATAAGCTAGATATTTGACCAAATCCATCACTTTTAGCTGTTTTGCAATTTATGTAATGCAGCTAGCAGCAACTATTTGAAATGTTACTCAGCTAAATTACTACCCAGATAATTATACGAATATTTTTAAATTAATAATTTATTCAATCCTTTTAGCTAACATTTTGACCTGTTAATTCATTTCTTTGGCCATTTAGTTTAACCATTAGCCTACATTTACCTCGAAACTTTAGAATTCTCTGCTAACAAGATTAACAAGCTAGCTTTTCACACACTCATTTGCAATATGTGGATGCATATTTTAATATTTTAATCTGCTATACAATGTTTCCATGTACCGACTGGCAACTCACAGAAGTACCTCTGGTTGGGAATGAGCACGTATGCTCCTTTACTAAAGCTGACTTTCAGTAAAAATACTGTTGAGGACTAAATTATCTTCTCTCTCTGTCTCCACTCACTCTGCCCTCTGTGGCCCTTGCTGGTCACAGACAGGCGGGTGACTGGCAGCTGTAACCCCACATCATTTTGACCTTGTTTATAGTCTCACATTAAATGGCATCTTGCTGAGACCCTGTGGTCAGTGCCAATCGTAAAAGCCCCTGAGGGAATGTCGCCTGTCTGGCATTCAGCCCACAAAACCCTCTCCATCTGCCCGACCACCACCGCACACTCCACTTGCCTGCTTGCATTCATATGTAACCTCGGCACAGTTCACATGCATCATTACATTTCTTCTCAGCACTCATTGTTTGCCCTTTTGTTTTTCTCCTTTCACAAATGACAATTTATTTGACCTTTTTTAATTCGCCACTTTGCCTTGAAGAAAATACACTGATTTATGCACTATTCTGACTATAATTTAATTTCACTCCCTTACTGATATCATACGTGGATAGTGCAGAATAGCAACCTCCTATATAAGGCCAGCAGAGAGTGTCAAGTATATTGTTTGAGCGAGATCAGCAAGAAGCCTGAAAAGTCGCTGCAGTGCAACATTAGTGACAATAATAATGATTTGAAGGCACTCATTATCATCTCCCCTCACCAGCACATTTTCTTTATCATTTCTTCTATAAATCTACTGACCTGTGTTGACCTAGTAATTAAGGTAATGACACAAGATAATAACTAAGTGCAATAATGCACCAAACTATAATCACTGCATTTACTCTAATTTCACCAGCTATGTCTTCAAAAAGATAATATAGTTCAGAATCCTGTATCGTTCCGGGTCTTTATAGGGGGGGCCAGTGGATGGGCATTATTGTCAGCATTATAGCCTGAGAGATGATGGGTAAAATGGTCAAAGCTATGTGGATATTATAACTGTCTATAATTGCCAAATATTACTTAGTGCTGGTCTGTTCACAACTAAAAATGCATTTCTGATAAATATATGCTGCTGTCTTATAGAGAATTCAGACTTAAGGTCCAGAAACAAAGATCAGATTAAGCAAAAGATAAACCCTGGAGTTTTTAATACATTGATACTATATAAAGAAAACTAAAGATATCTTAGATCACACAACAGGCTGCTTTTTACGTCTATCACAGTGTAACTTTTAGAAGCTTTGCGATATGTTATTATTTTTGTCATTATTCTTAAATATAGCGCCAAAATGATGTATATGTTTGTGCACACCATTAAAGAAGATATCCACTACTGTCTTAATGAGAGTTAGCTTTGTATTATAGCCAAAGCTCCATCCTGGACATAAACTGCATAGGATCCAAAAAAGCATAAAATAAAAATTCCTTTAAAATAGATTTTCTATATGAAAAGGTGAAGTATTGGAAGACTGTGTGTTTCAGCAGTCTAACATCTGTTCCTTAAATGGTAAAGCAGCGATGTAATCTGCTAGAAAATCATTTACACAC